TGAAGTATTAATAGCGTCCAATTTTCGCGCGCGCCGCTTCGCGTTATAAAATCGACCGGATGCTTCCCCAAAGCATCCACCCCCATTTCACACATTCGACTCTTACGCTCGCACAATTGGCTTTTGTAAAACTTTTCAATGCAAAAAAAAAAAAAAATTTCCCTCCCCTCTCGATTTTTTCCCCTTTTCTACAATGCGTAACAATTATTACAACGAAACTAATCAAGACCAAGAGGCAATAATAAAAATTACCTGTAACGATGAGAACGCAAAGACGAACGTGACGCACTTTTTCTCCTTTAAGTGACATCACACTAGTAATCAGCATAATGCGAGAGAGAATCAGAATCTCGCAATTACGCGACCTTTACCGCGCGCGCAGTAATTAAACACCTCTCTCGCAAGAGATTTCCCGGTAAAACCGAATCGATTATTTCTTTCCTGTGTGTATTCTATCGCGTTGATTAAACGCGCGCGCGTTGATTTCTGAAAAACAATCGCTGTCGGCTGTGACGGATCAAAGACCGCCGAACAGTGAAGACTACCTGGATTATCTGGAGCGAGGTCGAGCGAGACCCGGAGAACAATCCCAGAAAAAGTATTAGTCAGAGATGACCGTGGCGAGATGTTCTCTCTCTCTTTTTCTTTACGTCGCATACGCGCGCGATTATTCAAAAGTGGCGCAATGAAGCCAGGCGCGGGTTCGGCGCAATGTTAATTGACGGGACAGACGAGATTACGGCATGTCGCGCGAATAAGACGCTTCGTCAGTCGTCGTTAGCATGCGTCATTGGGCATTGCGGCGCCCGAAGGACGCCGGCGATCGTCGTCATCGACGAAACGCAAAATGGAAAATCGCGCGCACAAAATTCGCGATAATAAAATCCCGCGTTGAAAACTGGAACGGATCCGCGGAACGAGCGAAGAAAATCGCGAGTTCAAGGTTTCTCGCGTTTGCCTCTCAGCGTTTCGGCGTTTTGTTGTAATTTTCCGCAGAGATCGTGGAAATGTTTTTTTCTCTCGGCAATTGATTTTAATTGCGGATTATTAAACATCGCGAACAATCGAGATAATATTGTTCGCACATTTTTCCGTTTTGCACATACGTGTATGCAAATTACATTTTTACCGCAATGAAGAAAAAAAATAGGATAAGTCGCGCGAGAAACGCGGCGCGTAATGATATTTAAAAATAGAGACGACGTGCGAGAAGGTGTGTGCGCGCGCGAGGAACATAATAATTCCCGAAATTAAACCGAATCGCGCGGCGGCGCGCGGAAAGTAGTCGTCGTCTCGCTGGCAAATCCGAAACGTTTCGCAACAGGTGTGGCGGAAATTCGGTACGTCCGCGGCTGAAACTTAAGCCGGTACGAGCGGTGTAACACGTCGTGAGACACTTGTTGCCAACAAGTTGGAAATTTACCGGTGTTCCACCGGTAAAAATGATGATCCATCGACTTGATGATGACTACTCTGACAGCAATGATCTATTAAATCCTCGAACACAACGGCGCGCGGAATTTGTTCGAAGTGTTGTTACACGCGCGGCACACATCGGTGGCAGTGCAAGTGTGTTATCGAGCGCTGAAAGTGTGCTTGTTACTTTTTTTTTGTTTTTTTTTGTTTTTTTTCCAAGCGATTCATCGACAAAACGTAAATGAAGGACGTAATGAGAACGTGAGAAACCCGCTTTTATCGATCGGCCACGGCTAAACAACTCCGCAATCGAGAGAGCGCAAGAAGGTAATAATTAGTTCGTACGCGTTACAAAATAATCGACAAGAATGTAATTAGCGTTTTGCGTGTCATAAAGACCATTTCCGTCGCCACGGCAAAACGACGTGTCGTGTCGCACGCATTGATTTCCATTGATTTCCACAATGTGTGGTGTGTGCACACGCGCACACCGTGTAAAAACCTCACGACACGAATTTACATATCCGACTTTACTTTATTAACCAAGCGCGTCAAGTTTTTGCTATAATAAGCGACCGCTTCGATGTAATTAGCCGCTCTACGATGTTAACTATCATTCGCGAAAAAAAAAAAAGAAAAAAAACAACGCGCGCATATTCACAAGCTGCAACACGCACGCGAATCAAAAAGCGCACTTAGCGGTTTTATATGTGCGTGTGTGCGTGCGTGTGTCGTGCAATTCTTGTTTGAAAATTATCATCAGGTCACTACGCGAAAAACTGTCTCTTCCGCGATGATTAAACCAGGCGGCGCTAATTGGACACGGCGGCGTCCGATTTCTGCGAATCGGCGGTTACATTGTGGCGCGATCAGGCGAGGCGCGGTGCACTTCCGCGCGCCGAAAAGAGCTCCGCTCCTTTCCCACAGAAATCGCTCGCGCATAAAACCAAGAAAAAAAAAAACAAAACAAAACAAAAGCCAAATGACGGAATAATTGCCGGGTCGTTAATTTTCTCTCGCGCGTCCGTGTGTACAACGCGCTATGGCAATAAAATCATTTACACCCGACCCGCGAGTCCCGTGTTTTATTACACGATCCACAGAATACGCGCGCTTTCACCTCGTCCCGCCGCGTGACTTTCGGCCGGTCGAGTTCATCGGGTTTTTGTTTCCGGAACGTTCCGGCATCTCACGTTTCTTCGCGAGACAACGATCGCGCGCGCGCTCTCGTGACTTTCGATCGCTCGATTCCCGAATCGTCTCGCGCGCGTTCGAATATTTCTGCGCTGGGAAAAAAATCTCTTCTTTTATTTTTTCACGAAAAAAAATGAGGCCGCTGTCTTGTGACAAACAATAGTCGAGAGAGAAATTTTTGCGAACGGACAAAACATATTGATAGCGCAATTAATTAAATGGACGTGTTATAATTAGCGCGATGATGTATGCTCGTCTCGCGAGATAAATCTACGAGTTAACAATCCCGGAAATTCTCGCGAACCAATTGCTAATAATTTAATCGACGACCGGTGTTCGCGCTGAAGACATTAACACTGTTGGCGATCGTTCTTCGTGAAAAAAAAAAAATAATAAAAAAAAATTTCAAGTCCCGTTGCTCGCGACGACGCGATCGTGAAAACAAAAAGAATGAGCAGCGTCAATTAATTTTTCCGCACTAAATTCGCGTCGCTCTTAAACGCAATCGTCAGCGAAGCGGCAATTCTTAGCCGAGTCTATTTCTAAGCACGAATATCGATGAAGCGTAAAGGCCGAACATATCTGTCTGACGTAACGTATATATAAAACTTGCCGCGATTTATCAAGGAACTTCTTCTTCTTCTTCCTCTAAGCGACTTTCGGACGTTCTATTTTTGGTTCTCGATCCACTTCGGTCTGCGCCGCGGTGTCGAAGAACACGCATATGTGACACAAAAGAAAAAAAACAACAGGGTATAAAAATTTTTATCACACAACGGGCTACGTTACGGGCGACGAATCGTCCACGTCCGAGTCGCGCGTCCCGTGAAAAATCGCACGTAAAATAAATTGCGCACGCAACGACGATCACATCCTGCTTCGAGAGATAACTGAGGCGGGCAATTATACGCTGTTGTACAAATGAATGCGCGAGCACAACCTATTAACACCCATTATGTAATCGCCGTGTAACAAAGTGTGAAAGATGAAGATCGATTCTCCGCGAGATTTGACGGCGAAAACGCTCGGGTTGGGTGAGTGTTTATTAGTGCGTGTTGCCGCGAGATATATAAATTTATGTTTAAAATGTGTGTGTTCTTCCCTTCGTTCGTAAATTACGCAACACGGTCGGACAAGCAACAACCGAGTCTCGTGAAAACGTCTCTGCCCGGACGTGCGTACTTTAATTAAACGCCGCTTCCGGTCTGTCATTAACTCGCTCGCTTACCGACCGACGACGATTAGAGCGCGACGTTCACGCGAGAACGGGCAGCATTGCCAGATTTTCTTCTTCTCCGAATGTATGAGGAAAATTTTCGAAAATTATTATTATTATTATTATTATTTATATGTTACTATTTTTATGTTTACTATTTTTTACACGCTTTATTAGATTTATTTAATTACGAATAAACAGATTTTGATCAACGAGCGTTTTAATTTGTAAAATAAATATCAATGTCTGATTTTCGAAAACCGCCGACGTTAGACACAACACGCCGCGGAACGGAATTTTTTTTGCATTCGACCGCACAAACCTACTGTTGTATAACGCGGTGTTTTACGCGTTGTTTATTTCTGCATTATGCGCGAATTATGCTTAGCTGGTCTTTACGATAGTTAGTGCACCGTGAATGTTTCTGGCAGCTGGTGAGCACCGCTAATGCCAACACCGCACACGTTAGCGCGGGGAATGCGCTTCATTCAGAGCGAAGATGGTAAAAGCAGAAGATGAGCAGCAGCGGTGGGGAAAAACCGACTTGTCCTGCACGCTTGTGTGTGTCCGTGTTCGAGCGCGTAATCATTTTCCACGAGATAACATTCTTCGAGAAGATATAGGAAAAAAAAAAAAAAAAAGACTTTCTTCAACCGATACAATCGATGGCTGCCAACGATTGTCAGTGCGCGAAACGCGCGCAAGAATAATGATTATTTCAAATAAAAATGTAATTAGCGAAGATCGTACAAAAGCGAGTGTTCTTTTTGCGTTATGTTTTCTTTTTTTCCTTATTTACCCATTCATTTTCGCATCTGTATAATCATCGCCGACTTCGCGAGTGATGCATCTACCATTTTACGAGTCATTAATAACCGGCGATGTAAGCGCTAATTTCAGCAACGGTTTTCCGCCGACGAAATTCCACTGAGTTTCAAATTGTTTGTTTCAAATTGTTTCTCAAAGCCAGGCCACGAGGGAAAGAGGGTGGGCGTTTTGTTTTGCGCGACGATCATCGAAAATCGCATTTTTTCTCGACGAATATATAACCCGCGTTTTTCGTTCAACTTCAATTGCCGTCGAAAATTATTTATTTTTTAATAAAAAATATTGTTATTATTGTATTTGTAACGACGGATTTGTAATCTACAACTTAAAAACTTGTGCTGTTTACCTCAGGTGTTTGGCGAAAATGCCGCAGTTCCAAAAGACCGCATCCCGAGAGCCACAAACCGAACTGAGTTGCGCGATCTTAGAACATCTGATATTTTTTTCGGAATCTCTCGCCTCGTTCTTTGACAATAACTATTGATGTTTTTTTGCTACTGTTTATTTTCCTTTCAAATTTCACTGAGAGTTCACAAAAAATGTCACAGCTTTTCACAAGATCACCCAAACAGATCCCTTTATGTAAATCTCGACATGCACATTTGCGAGCTCGCTCATTTTTCTGCTCTCTTTCTGCGCGTGCTCTTTTCCTCCCTGACGTGAGAAATTTCCGTTTCGCACGGAATCGCCACGCGACAGGGTTCGAACGCTCGCGACAGTTGCGAAATACTTGGAGGAAAACGTTCGTTCCGGATGTGTCCGATAATGATCGCCGGGCAAATCGTTTCTATTCGCTCGCGTCACGCCGATAATCGGAGTTAATGATATAATCGCTCGTTCGCGTTCGAGAGAGAGAGAGTTTCACCGCGCGCGCAATTTTTGCGTTTCTTCTTCCGCGTCTGACTTGCCGCGCAGCTCGTCGTTTCGCGATTATCGTCTTTTTCTCGCGCGAAAAGAAAACTTTAGCTTTAACCTCGGCGAGGAAAACGCGCGAGGAATCCGCGACTCGTCTCTATCGATTCTCCTCGTCGATTGCTTTCGCCGAATTGATGATCTTCCATCTTCCAGAACTCGCGGCGCGAGTTTGTGTATTTACCGAAGCACGCGCTTCGTCGGCGAAGGGACACGGCGTGCGCAACGTTGTCCTAGGTCGCGATCGATCACTCACGTGGGCGAAGCACGACAATGTCAACGTGTCAGTTTTTCCGTGCCGGAAAATTAAGCGAATCGATGACGGAAGTCGAAACGTCAGACCAAAGTGTCACACTCGCGCGCTCGGACACTTGAAACGTCAAAGTCGATCGGGGAACAGCTGATAACTTAGTCACTACACGTAGTAGAATAGAAATAGACGAACAGGCTGAACTTCAGCAGCGGGAAAAGCGCAAACAGTTTTCTCGCGACGTACGAGAAGTATATCTCTCTCTAGAGATGATTTTCAATCATCTCCAAGATTGTTTCTCGGATCAAAAGGGATATCTACAACACTCGAATGAACGTTGACGTCAAGTCACGAGAGAATTTGACAGTTCTCTTTAAAGTACTTCCCTCCCGTCACACATTCACATACGCACACACACGCACACACTTATTAGTTTTATTTCGATAAAAACGTGTTTCTCCTCAAAGAGTCCCGAATGACCTCCGAAGTTTGCGCGCGCGTGTATACCGCACGGACACTTTCAGGATCACGTTGCTTTTCCGCGACGTCGTTCCTTTCCGGTCACCAGCCAGAGAACAGCAGCTGCCGGTCGGAGAACGCGGCACCGCACAACAATCCTTTTTCCCGAAGGTCGCGACAAATCCTCGGACAGATCGAAAATTCGCGCGCGCGCGCCTATTCTGTCTCGCGATGTTGCACTCGACTCACGTGGCGGCCCGGTCTGACCGTCGTCGGCGGCGACCACTTCCTCGGGCCGTCGACCAATCGGCTGCGCGCCAGGACGCCTCGAGGTACGATCGCGAATCCTCGTCCGCTCTCGGTCGCGCTCGATAGTCGCTCCTCTCTCTCTCTCTGTCTCGCGCGCGCGATCAACGCGCGCGTGTGTGTGTGCCGCGTGGTCGGCAGCGGCGGCGGTCGGACAGCAACGTCCGTAACTACTTTTCGAACTCGTTCTCGCAACAGCCGCGGGGACAGATCGCGGCGGCGACGCCTACGACGACCCAGGACGACGGGAACGTCCAGGACTGGCCGTGGTCCTGGTACCGCTTCCACCGGTCTTCGCACGCATGAAAGCACGCGCGCTGCCTCGCATCGAGCGTGCGCCTCGTCCAGCGTCCGACACGATACTACCTCTCTCCCCTTCCTTTCTATCTTTCTCGCTCTCCCTACGCCCCCTCCACGGCCGTCGCGTTCGCTCCGTCTCCCTCTGGCCGCGATCCCCGCGCGCGGGAGGGTAGGGAGGATGTGGGGAGAGAACTACTCTCTGGTAGCCGCTCATTAAACGCCGCGGTGACGTCAGGAGCAGCGATACTCTCGAAATTTGTGCAAGAAAGAGGGAGAAAGAGAGAAAGAGAAGTACAGCATCTGTTCGCGCCTCTAGCTGCGTAATTGATCCCAGCGTATTTGCGATCATGATTGATGAATAGATAACAAAAGCTCAAGGTACAAGGGGAATTTTTTTTTTTTTCCGCGCGTACGTGCGAAACGATAAAAGTGAGTTCGGCAGAGGCTTCCGAGGAAATTCCGGAGCGATCTGAACCCCGTGATTAAGTAAGCGAAAAAACATGCGCGAAATGCGTGAACTCGAAATTATTATTCGAAATTACATACGGAATTTAATTTCGCGAGAGACGCACACGCGAAACGTTCAACAGGGAAAATCCCAAGCGCGAGAGAACGCGTCCCGGGTAGGGACGTTCGTCGTGGGTGGTCCCGTCTAAAACGTCTGTAGCTACTTGGAAATGGGATTTCGCCGCGCTCGCGAACGTCCATCGCTATTTAAAGATGAGGTGTACGAGCGACGAGCGCGCAAGGCGCTTCGCCTATTCTTTCTTTTTCCTGTTGCCACGAAACCTCGCGCGCGCACTCGTCTCTCGCTTGTCTTCCTTCAGCACGTGACTTCGCCACGGCCGCGCCGCGCACGGCGTCTCTCGGCCGTGGAAAACGCCGTGAGTGCAAAGACACCTTTCACGCGATACCATCGTCGACGAAGGTAATCACCGGGGCGAAAGGTCCCGACACTTAAGGCCTCGGTTTCGTCTTCGGGGTTTTGTAATGAGAGGCGCGGCGCGGCGCGTCGTGTATTTATTTTTCAATAAACGCGCGGCGATTCGCGCGACGACGCGAGCTCGAAACCTCCTCGAGCGCGCGCGCGCGAATGCAGATGTTAACGACGAGAGTATCGGTCACGATTAGTAAAAATATTATTATTATTATTATTATTATTATTATTATTATTATTATTATTATTATTATTATTATTGTCAAGTGTATAGCCGCGAAGAATCGCGCGACGAGCTGCTCTTTCTTTGTCCGCTTGAAATTTGTGAACTTGGCCGCGTGACGTCTCACGCGAGCTTATCACGGCCGTGATTCATTTGTAAGTGCGAAGTGCACTCACTCGACTGAAAAACCTCCCGGCTCCGTTGACGACCTTCTTCGCTGGATCGCGATCGATTATTATCCGCGCGTTGAACGAGCATAGTAGACCTATAGTGTGTGTTTGTGAGAGAAGAACCTCTCTCTCTCTCTCTTTTTATCTATCTATCTCTTGTGCAAAGTACGTTAATTCCACATCGAAGTAAATATATGCTAATTTATTGACACTGTACATTTACCGTTTAATAACCGCACGAGGCGCGCGCATGTTAATATTCAAATCGTCGTCGCGCGCGCGCACGCGTCGACTCGGTGAGTTACAAAGACAGTCACGGCCGTAAAGAAGACATTTTTTTCTACGGAAATCTTTCTTTCTCCTATCTCGTCATCAATGTCGTCGACAACTTCGATAACAAATACAATAAATTTTTCTCGAAACGAATGAAAAATGACAAACCAAAAAAAAAAAAAATGGCGTTTACAGACACCTAACGCGAGCGATGTGTGTACGAGCTCTCTCGCTGGCCGAATCGAATACGCGATAATACACGTAACGCGGATATTTATTCGCTTGTAAGCATGACTTTCGTGGTATTACGTCGGACGTAACAACGGCGCTTTCACCGGAAAATACTATCAATGAGTTCACGTCTAAAGGTGGAGAGTGCGCGGCTCGAAATATATATCCCCGGCGCCCGCGGCGCTAAAAGCGCGAGCGAAGTCGGACGTCGATATAATTGTTGCGGATTACATTCCCGCCTACCTACTGCCGCGGGAATACTAATTGGCGGATATAATCGTTTAAACGATTCACATTCTCGTTTGAACTCAAGTAGTCGAGTAAATTCGGGTTTCGACTCGACCGATATTACATTCGAGAGATATCCGGTATACTGGAAAAGCGCATTTCGATGAAATTATCACTGTTATTCTCGCGTCGAGGCAGCGCGCCGTATATATTTGTGTGCGCGAATATACGTGTGTGTGTGTCGTTCGCGATGTGTGGTTCATCGTGGAACCATATGCTACGACAGGAAATTATCTACGAACCGACTTCTACATGCGAGCCGTTACCGTCCGAAAATAGCTGACGTTTTCCCCGAGAACGCGCTGAATTTTAGAAACAATCGCAGAAAATGCAATTTAATGCTGAGTTTTACTTTCTTTTTTTTTTTTTTTTTCCATTCAGCGCGAGATATTTTGAAAAGTACGAGAGAGGAAGGGAGAAGATGAATGTAAAGTGATATAAAATCGCACGTGCGGTTTTACGAGAGAACGGAAAAAGAGTCAATAATAATTGTAAAAAGAGTATCGAAGAAGAACAATTGCAACTTTTTGATGCGGAGTGCATTACACGCTTCCTTTTTAACTCACAGTTTCTCAAAAAAAAAAAAACTCCGGTTCGATCGATTCTTGTGTGTGCGCAGACCTCCAAACACTTGTGAGACAAATTGATAAATTACGTAACGCGATAGTTCGATAAAAAAAGAAAAAAAATTATCGCGCAAAGAAGAAAAGAGAAACACACACGCACACACAGAAGCAATGATCCAAACATAGCGGGAACTATAACAAGATCAGAAGGGAAGTTGGTAACGTACAAAGTTTAACAATTACTACTTGTCAATTAGCATCACGCGTCGGCTGATTTATCGCGAAACCGGTTGCGCTATCGGCGCGCGGCGTCCCACACGTTTACGCGTCTTTAAACGCGGTTTATTTCGAACGGTCCGCCACCTACATTATACAAAGGCGGTTAGATTAATTAAAGTCGAAACATCCGCGCCTCGAAATAGCGCCGCGCACACGTTCTACCTATCTACCCGCGTCCCAAATACTCGGTGGGTATCGCACGGGTAATTATTTCGGATAAATTGTGTGTGCGCGCGCGCGCGCGCGCCACCTACGCCCGCGGGCAGGCGTACAACGGGCTTTCTGAGTCGAGGCAACTCGAAGCGCGAAACATTTGTGACCCGAAATAGCACGCGCCCGCCCGCACACGATACCTACCTACCATCGCTCGGTTACGCACTTCTCATTGTTTTTCTTAGACCGCAAGGTCGTGCGCGCGCCACCAAACAAAATCGGAGAAAATTCTTTAATTCACATCGGACAAAAATCCGAACGAATCACGACGTCGAATTTCAAATATTGACGCGTCAAATATTGAATAGAGATATCGCGCGCTTCTCGACAGTCGCGAGACTTTTTAAATTGACATATTATCTCGAGTATCGATCATCAAAAAATATCGGGGGAAAAAGATAGCAACGAAGTGATGAGAAAAACGAGAGAAAGAAAGAAAGAAAGAAAGAGAGAAAGAGAGAGAGAGAGAGAGAATCTTATTTGAAAAATATTTCCTATCTGAAAGTCTCTCCCCTTGGAAGCTTCGACACTTTGCGGGCTTCACGTCTTCGTCTTCCCCGTCCGATGTCATTAGCACATTCGAGTTCTTGCTAGGAGAGACGACGACTTAATGCCGCACCGAGATAGCGCCAAGAGACGCGAAGAGAAAACGGTAAAATGTGTTTACTCAAGTGTTCATTAGTACTCGCGCGGCATAGGCGACCATTTGGCGGGCGCAACTATAATTAGTTAACGACATCCACCGGCGCGCGGCGGTCTCGAGGCGAAAAGAGAAAGAGAGAGAGAGAAAGAGAGCGAGAGAAATCCTCCCCAGCCGACATCAATTTCTCCCGCTCGACTCGCGGCGGAAATGATTATCATATAAAATCGCGAACGAGAGATATTTTCCGAGACGCGCGGGTCGGAAGGGCTGAGAAGGGGGATTAACGATGATCATTAGTCGGCGGAAGAGCAGGGCGGAAGGGTAAAAAGAAACGAGGGCGCGACGAAGAGAGAAAGAGAGAAAGAAAGAGAGAGAGAGAGCGAGTGAGGGTGAGTCTGTTTCATCGGCGAGTAATTTGATCGAACGGGTCGAATTAGCGACAGAGCGAAAACTCGTCTAAGGAGCGCACGTAGGAGGAGAAAAGATGATACTCCCCCGCTTCCTCTCTCTCCACCCCGCTCCATATGCTATAAGCGCGCAGCTCAGAATTAGCGTGGCCAACACACATGCTAAACATTCAATAAAGCGTTGGAGTGGGAAAGAGAACCGAGTCCGGAATAATCGTAATCATAAATAATCGGAGCCTAAATATACGTCGGAGCTCTCGCACACAGTAATGTGTGCCCGCAAAACCTTCTCTCTCTCTCTCTCTCTCTCTCTCTCTCTCTCTCTCTCTTTCTTTCTCTTTCTC